CCCCAAAACCCCAAAACCCCAAAACCCCACCAATATGAGATCAGTAAAACCAGTTTGATTCCAAAATTCTAACAGATTAATAAAATAAGATAAATAAAAAATGGGTTAATGTGTGTCAGATTCAAGAATAACTTCTGAAAGATTTGAAATTGAAAAATAAGTAATATTCTCATCATCATATATTATCAGTTTGAACCAACAATGGATCCAGCTTTCTCACAGAAGAACTAAAGCCAAGAGGTGGAGAGACACATGCAATAAAGAAGAAAAAGAAATATCAGAGAAGGATTGGGGATTGTTGACGATTCCAAGTCAGTAAACATAATTCAGTATTGAAAATTGAAGCCATAGAAATTTTGATAATCGAACACTTCATAAAATAACTTAAAATGCAGGAATGCTCCTTATATAAAATAGCTATCGTTAATTTCATAAGAAGTATTAATAGAAAATCATTGCTTAACTTATCACTTTTACTCATTAATTAAGATTATTTATAGTCTATCTAAAGTTTTATTTTCATTTATAGTTGTCAAATTGAGAATTCCCTACATGTTCACTTGAAGAAATTAATGTCATTGTAATTCTCTCTTATGCTCTCTTGGATGAGTTTGAATGTATTATAAAGACCCACTCCAGATATCATGGACCCGACACCTCTTCCAACAGTCATGAACAATGCCATAATTTACCCCGCTCGTTCAGATTCCATATTGCTGACCTTGTAAGGCCCAATCATCATTAGTATCGTTCCCAAGAATCCATTTCCAAATCCTATGAAGAGTATGTTTATTATCTTAAACCAGTCTGAGTCAAAGAGCTCCTTAGGATCCTCATTGAAACCTATCATTAGTGATGTATAAATACATCCAATTCTTATTAATGAGCTAAAATTAATCATCGTACGGGACGGCTTAGTCGACAGATACTTAGTGAAGAACCTCCCTGCTATATCTGCAATAGAATACAGAGAGAGCATGGCTACTTGAAACCATGATTCATCACTGATGAAAGTAAAATGTGTCTGCAGGATTATACCAGGATAGCAGACCATAGTGGTCACATAGACTAAGCACAGACATAAAGACTCAATCCAAATTTGCTTGAAAGTAGTCCAAACATCCCTCAGCGAAGTCATCTTGTTCTATGCCTGCACACATTAAAACACAGCGTCATTAAACTCTAAGGTGTTATTTGCATCTATCAGTTTGTTCACATTCTAATTATCATAGTCCTCATCCTAGTCTTTGATATCCTCCAATGTCTGAACGAGATTAAAGATAATTACATCCTATCTTATCACAAAGAGTATGCCGAATGCTAGAATTAGCATGAAAGCACCTGTTGATGCGAAAAATACCAAAGCTCCAAAGAAGTACTTCACCTCATCTAGTAAGCCGAAATAAGCTAAAGTAATAACTCTTAATATCAAGGGGCCTACTGCATTAAGGGATATGCCTAGCATAAATGCTGACATATAGCGAGGAGGTAAAATACCTGCTAAACCTGCTAATGAGCTACTTAAAACTGCCATACATATGCCCAAAAATACCATTATTACTATACTTAGGATCCAAGCTATATTATCTGGAAGGAAATAGACTATGAGTGGCAAAGCAGTGCATAACCCTGCACTTATACTGAAGCAGAAAAATATTCTAGTCTACAATGGAATAGTATTTTGATATCTTATTGTTATCATTTGTATGATAATCTGTGGAAAATTCATGGCAAATGGGTAAGTGAATTCTGGCTGGTAATCAATCAACTACATTAACAATCACTTAAAATAATTTTACACTTTTATTGAAGTATTCTATCGCTGTTGTTATAGCACTGAAAGGCGTCAGACTTCCAATTCCAAACAGCACCATGAATATGTAGACAGCATTCCATTTGTCAGGCACCTCCTTATACTACTTTTCCTTTCTTTCAAACATGTATTGCGGAGGCTCAATTGAGTAGTTTAACTTGGGTTCATCATAGTCCAATCTTGAGGTGGCTTATTAAGTCACTTCAAAGTTAGCCATCAGCTTTATATTCGCCCTGGCCCCATCATTCACCTAGTATTTTTCTTGCGAGCCATCTGAGTTTCTATCTGTATACTAAGAGATGTAGCTTCCTCTTCTGTTAAAGTTCATTTGCGGCGCTTCGAGGAGATTATGAGAATAATGATCATCATAGGGTTCAGCCATGTTATCAGTGAAATGCATGCTGTATTTCGATCTGAGATCTGGCTAATCTTGATATGACTTTTACTTAATTGGAATTTCCATTACGAATTATAATACTTTTCTTGTACTATTATTATACTTTAGCAATTTCCCCCTCATAATATTATTCACCCTTAGGGGTTTTGGGGTTTTGGGGTTTTGGGG